GGTGCTGTTCACCCAGCCCCACACCGGCTGGAGGAGGGCAGCCCAGCCTGGCTCGCACCCACACCGGGCCACCCAGGACCCCAGCCTCGGTATCCCTGTACACTGGGCATCTGGCCCACTCCCTTGGGACCCCCCCGGGCCTCCTGGGCCCATGTCCAGCTCGAGCAGAGCCTGCCCCTGCCTTGCAGAGGCTGCGCTGGTGCTAGGCTGGGGCCTGCAGGGTGGGGAAGTGTTGCTTGGGCCAGAGGAGGAAGAAGGCTGAAGACTGCCAGCCCGAGCTACCATGGTCAGCTGGCAGGGGCCTTGGCAGCCTCCGCTGGTTGGGCTGGGCAGGGCTGGACCGTGTGGGGCACCTGGCCAGGTAGGCCCCAGGGAGCAGCACAGCATGACCTGGTGTGCAAGCCGTCACAGGTGACCACGGCGGCTCAGTGTCTGTCTGGCCACCTGGGACACGGCATTCAGGCAGTGTGGTGAGCACCAGGCTGCAGGTCTGGGTGGCGCTGGCAGGGCGGTGTGTCGGCCAGCCTCGTGGGGCTGGTGAATATGGTGGTCAGGCCATTCTTGCCCTGGTCACGCAGGCTGCCACTGGGGACCCTGAGCCCCGCCCCAGTCGAGGCCCCAAGGCTGAGCAGCCCCTGTATTTCTGGGGCCGTCCTTAGCAGCTGGGCCACGCCAGGGGCACACCTGCTCTGTGGCGGGACAAGGCTTCCGGCCTTGCAGCTGCTGGCCCCGAGGACAGCGTGGCCTCCCTAGCAACAGCTGGACCGGAGGCGCGGGAGCCAGGACCGCCCAGAGCCCGACCAGCCTGCCTCCCCCCCACTTCCAGGGATCAGTTACAGCCTGCAGATGCTCAACAAGCCCGGGAGGGGGGGAGCAGGGACAGGGCTGCAGACTCCCCAAGAACCCACCAGCTGGGCCAGGGGAACGCTGGGTGGAGCCCTGGCTGCATGGCACCAATGCTCGGGGAGCAGCCGTCAAGGGTCCAGTGTGCCCAGGCCTGGCTGCGCTGAGCTGGATGACCCCCCACAAGCCTTCGGGCAGCTGCCCACCTCCCAGCAGCCGTGTCTTGGGACTGCAGGAGGAGAACACGGTGCACAGCAGACTCCAGGAGCCACTTGGGGGCTCACAGGTGTCCCCTGCGGCCTCCCCTCACACCGCGGGGCCCCGCAGATGCCCAGGAGTGAGCGAGCGTCCTCGTGTTTCAGGAACGGGGCGAAAAAGGTGCCACCCCCCGCCCCCGTCCCTGCCGCCTTAGTCCACGCTGCCGAGAGGTCCAGCAGGCCTCTCGAGCGTCCTCGTGTTTCAGGAACGGGGCAGTGGTGGGGGTGGCCAGGCCTAGCTAGTGGCTCTTCATCACAGAGGGCCGATGCCCGGGCTTCCTTTCCACCAAGGGGCGTCTGTCTGTTACTCATCCCCTGGAAGCTGGGCTCACTCCTGCGGGCCTTCCCGCCGGTGCTCAGGAGGGCCTGGCTAGCTGGTCGTGGTCCCCACAAGCCAGCTCAGCGGACGGCAGGCAGCCATGTGGGCCACAGCACACTGGCCTGGCTTAGGCCTTGAACCAGCTGTGGGGCGGCCTGCAGGGTCGTGGCCAGCTGTGGAAGGGCACGGGGCTGCGGTGGCCGCTTGCCCACCCAGCCCAGCAGCTGAGGGCCCCTGTCCCACGGCCCTCCCGGCTCAGCCACTGTCGCCCTGCCCCGTGGGGACTGCGGTCCAATCCCTCCAGGCCCTGCCTTTGCCAGAATCCCTGGGTCTCAGTCTGGGGTGGGAGGCACTAAGCCACAGGAGGGGCACATGCGAGACTAGGCTTCCTGGGGCGCAGCAGAGCCAGGCCTGAGCTCCGGCCGTTCAGGACGCCGTGGGCTGCATGGTGCCACCTGGCGGTCAGAGCTTGTCTCCTTGGCCTGGAGTCCCTGTAGCACACAGGCCATTGCCGATGTCTCCACCTGGGACCCCGGCTCTCACTTCAGGAAGGACTGTGGCTGGAGAGAGCTGTGGGCCGACTTTCTCCAGACCTCATGCCTCCAGCCTGTGGTCCCCTGTCCTAAGCTGCTGGCCCTAGGCTCCCCTGGGGGCTTCTCTCCCTGGGCCTCTGCCTCCTGGTGGCATCTCTCAGTGACTGCTAGCCCACCAGATGGCGCCAGAGGCCGGCCCAGCCCAGATTCCGGCGGTTTGAACCGTCAAGCTGGGTGCTGAGCCCCCACCGTGGGAGGAGGACTGGGAGGGCTGGGATGCAGAGGAGAATGGAGGGCCGTGGGACTGGTGTCAGGGCTCCGTGGACAGCCTGGCTCTGACCAGGAAGGGCTGTCACCTCTGGAACCTGTTACCTTAAGTGGGGTGGGGGGACGCTCTCCCGGAAACCCCGAGTGTGGGGTCCTGAGCTCCCTGCACGCCCCCCCTGCCCTTCACTGACCAGGCAATCAGAGGTTGAGGCCCCTGGAGGTTGGGAGCCGGAGGACTGGCTGCCACTCAGCCCGGAACCAGGAGGACCATGAGGGGGAATTGCTCGATGGCTGGAGACACTTTGGGATCACCTGGGAGAAGGTCTGGAAACCTCGCCAAGGCTGTGAGAGGAGTAGGTCCCGGGGCCTGTGGCCCTGCCACCCCGACCCTGATGGAGACGGCTGTCTGTAGACTGGGAGAGCCAGTGTCTGCCTGGAGCCATCGAGGGCGAGGTACCAAGCTGGTGGCTGTGGATGTTCACCCTCGGCCTTGGCTTCCCACCCAGCCCAGGGCCGCAGGCCGGGGTTCGAGGGTGGTGCTCAGGGCTGGGGAGCTGCACGGGTGCCTCAGTCCTTGTGGTTGGGGGCGATGCCCACGTCAGCTGGGGCCCTGGTGCTCCTGGCCAGCCAGTGCGCCCACCTCCAGTCCGGCCCCCGAGGCCTCATGCGCAGCTAGTCCCTCTGCCCCCAGCCTTGCTTCTGGGGCCGCGTGCCAGGACTCCACGTGATCAAGTTCAGCCCGGTGTCGTCCCTGTCCCGGCCCTTCCCCCACTGCAGCGGGCAGAGGGTGTTGGCACCCAGCTGGGCCCCTTCCAGGCCAGGCCCTGGCCACATGCTGGGCACAGGGGCTGTGGGTTGTGTCCACGGCCTCTGGTGTCCCTGGGTGCGTGGCTCTGGAGGCCCAGGACCACAGGGCCATGCCTTCCTCGGGCTGTGCCCAACATGCAGAGCTGGGGTCACCTGTGGAGGGTGAGGCGTGAGCTCATGCCCAGTGCCCCCTCCCTGGCCAAGGCTGGTCCTCGTCTGGTCACAGGGCTCGCCAGGGGGTCCCACCGGCACGGCCAGGGCTGGCGGTGTCTGCTCTGGGTCCCTCAAGTGGCCTTTGAGCCCCTGCTCAATTGCTGTGGGCTGGGCTCAAGGTCGCCAGGCAGTAGGAGGTGGCGTGACCGAGATCACGCTTCTGTCCCCCTCCCCAGATGCCAAGTGGGAACAGAACATGGGGGAGGGGTGAGGCCAGGGACCCCACTGCACACGGTGGGCTCTGGTGGCCAGACCGAGGCCCTGCTCTCTGTCCTGTGGCCGCGTCTGTCTCTCTCTGAACGCGAGGTCTTCACTAAGTCCACACAGAGCATAAAAACTGCTTGGATTTCACATTGTCTGCACCAAAATGAACTCAATTTGATTTCATTTTTTCACAACTTTTTTTCTTCTTTTTTTGGAGGGTTCTTAAAAGAGCCTTTGGGGTGGGGTACACGTCAGGTCTCAGGAAGGCTTTACGCCCTCTCCCCGCGGCGCGGGAGCTGGATGTCCTTGGGCAGGATGGAGACGCGCTTGGCGTGGATGGCGCACTGGTCGGTGTCCTCGCGCAGCCCCACCAGGTAGGCCTCGCACGCCTCCTGCAGCGCCCCGACGGCCGAGCTCTGGAAGCGCAGGCCGGTCTTATCCTGCGCGATCGCGCACCAGGCGCTGGCAGGGCAGCTCGCGGTCAGCAGCTCCGTGGACTTCTGTCCGTGCAGGTCTTGTGCAGCGCCACGGTGCCGGGCCAGTAGTGGGGGCGTCTTCATGCTGCCCGTGGCTGGCGCGCTCCTGCGGGCCGCTGGTGGACTGGCGCAGGCCACGGCCGGGTCAGCCTAGCTTCCCAACTCAAGTCCCACATTTGCGTTTTATGCCAGAGGGCGCGTGCGCAGGCGAGAGGGGGAGGGAGAGGGGGCACCTGACCAGGCTGTCTCACAGCAACCCCTTCTCCAATCCTCATCTGCAGGACCCTGGCGGGTACCCTTGCCGTGGGTTCAAGCCCTGGGCCCTGTGGGATGTGGCACACTCGGTTTGGTGCTGACAAACGTTCTTCTTTAAAAAGGAATATTTATTTTGTTTATTTATCATTATTATTATTTCACATGAGTTTTTGCCAGAGAAAGACAGGCAGAGAGAAAGAGAGAGAGAGCGTGAGGGAGCAAGCTGCCAGGTCTGGGACTTGAACCGTGGTCAGCCATGTGGGAGTCCAGCGCCTTAACCACCATGCCACCTGCTGGTCCCTCTCCACAACTTTCTGAAGTCTGCGTGTGTATGGTGTGTATGCATGTGTGAAGTCAGTGTGTATGCCCACATGTACACGTGCATGAAGTTTGTGCATGCGCCTGAGTGTGCATGTGTGTGAAGTCTGTGTGTGCCATGTGTGCATGTGTGTGAAGTCTGTGTGTGCCTGCATGTGAATGTGCGTGAAGTCTCTGTGTGTGCTTGCATGTGCATGTGTATGAAGTCTGCGTGTGCCTGCACGTGAAGTCTATGTGTGTGCCCATGTGTGCATGTGTGTGAAGTCTGTGCATGCCATGTGTTCATGTGTATGAAGTCTCTGTGTGTACCCGCGTGTTCATGTGTGTGAAGTCTCTATGTGTGTCCACATGTGCATGTGTGAAGTCTCTATGTGTACCCGCGTGTTCATGTGTGTGAACTCTGTGTCTGCATGTGTGTGAAGTCCATGTGTGCCCGCACGTGCATGTGTATGAAGTCCGTGTGTGTCCACATGTGCATGTGTGTGAACTCTGTGTCTGCATGCGTGTGAAGTCTGAAGTCCGTGTGTGCCCACACGTGCATGTAGAGTGACCGGGACGTCTCCCAGGGCCAGCCCATGCAGTGGGGACCAACACCAGCTTGGGGCTAGAGCCCTCTGCTCCGGGAAGCTGGTTCCTGCTCCTGAGCCTCCGACTAGGATGAGGCCGGCCGGTTCACAAGGACCACCGGCTCAAGGTGACCACGACATGTAGCCGCACAGATGAGACGCCTTCACAGTGACACCGAGCACAGGGTTTGCTGAGTCACCAGGACATGGCCCCCCGAGGGGGTCCCTGAGGCCCTCCGGCCCCCTAGGAAGAGGTGAGGTCGGGGTGTGGATGCCCGTCTTCCTGTCAGAGGCCACAGCTCAGACTGCTTCTCCTCACCAGCCTGTCGCAGGGCCGGTTACCCACCCCAGCCCCACTGGACTGCCACGTGGGGCCACGAACCCGTGCTGAAATGTCTGCTTGGTGGGACCCCGTGAGGACCTGCCCCTCGAAGATGGACAGGTAACTGACACCCCATGAGGGTGGAGGCTACTGCTCAGACTGCCACGGGGCCAGGCTCAGAGGCATGGGCTGAAGCACGCCTGAAGTGGGGGGCATGCTGGCATTCTGAGTCGTTGAGGGAGCTCTGGCCATCCCCGACCAGGGGACACCGGGGTTGGGCGCCGGGCTGGCTGCCACCGTGGCTCAGAGCTCTGCACTGTGCGGCCTGCCCACTGTCTACATGTCCTGCCTCAGATGCCCTGGGCAGCCCCAGGCCCCATGGGAAGGGTAGCTCCTGGGCATTCCCCTGCTGATGCCCCTGGGGACGCCCAGCCAGGACCAGGTGAGGGCGTCCCTGCAGCCTGGGCAGGGAGAGACCCAGCTCTGGCCACACCCAGCTTCCCAGAGCCCCGCCCCTGCTGACTGCCAGTGCTGCTTCCCAAGCTCCACCCCCAGCTCGTGCTGGTGAGTGACAGGCTGGTCGCCAGGGCAGGGGCACCCTCTGCTGCGCCATGTCTGACTCTGGCTCTGCCACCTTCTCTGTGACCTCGGGAGGAAAGAGAAGCTTTCTTTGGCTGTGCCGACATGCGCTGGACACGTCCAGGCCGACACGCTGCCCACAGCAGCAGGGCTCAGAGCAGGTACCGCCGCCTCCAGTGGGCCTGGGCACTGTCTGTAAGGTGGGACAGCAGTGCCCGCATGCAGCCCTCTCAGCCCCAGGCCTCACCTTCATAGCTGAGGCCACAGGGCACTGTCTCAGGGGCCGATGTCCCACATAGGCAGCCTGGGCTTGGCAAGGACACTGCGTCACCAGCGTGCTCTGGGTGCCCCCCCAGCTGAGCCCAGGGCCTAAACTGCAGGCCCCAGGCGCCCAGGTGTCGAGAGCCCAAGAGTGGCCCCCAGGACCAGCAGGTAGGGCCCTGCAGAGCTGGGCTGGGCCGGGCCAGGGGCTCTTGGCCTGGTGGAGCTAGTCGAAGCTGGCTAAGGCCACCACACTGGACACCCCAGCCTTGGAGCCTCCCCGTCCCCGCTGCCTGGCCCCTCCTCACTCTGCAGAGCTCCTCCACGGGCAGCAGGGGCCTGAGTGGGCCTGGGCTGGGGAGCCAGAGACGCTCAGCTCCAAGCAGGACTGTGTCATGCCTTTGTTCTTGGTGACATCCACATGGAGAGCCCCTACTGAGTGCAGGCCACCACCCCGCACAGCCCTGCCCCCGAAGGAGCGAAGCTCCTGCCCTGGCCCCTGCCCTGCTGGCCACGGTGGCTGGGCAGCCCGCAGCGCTGGCCCTGACTGCCTCCCTGATGCGCTCGCCCCCGCCCAGCAGGGCAGTGACCATTAGGAAGCCGTCGGGCGCTGAGCCTCCCTGAGCTTCTGCAGACGGTGCGGGCGGCAAGTCTGACGGCCAGACACGTGAGCCAGGGCCCTTCCTGGGGGGAGGCGGGTGGACACGCCAGGCGGGAGCTAGTCAGGGCAGGGCATAGGAGGTCGCATGGCCCTGTGAGGGCTGGGGACGGGCCAGCGCAGCCCAAGGACTGAGAGTACCGCACAGCTTCCTCGCCGGGAACAGACACAGGAGGCCTCCGGGGTGTTTCAGGTGAGCCGAGGTCAGCCTCTGTCACCTGAATAATCCCAGGGGCGCCCAAGCTCAGGCGCTGAGCCCCAGCCAGGTCATGGGGTGCGGCAGTACAGGCCAGGATGCAATTCACAGCTAGGGCTGAGAGCAGGAGGGGTCTGAGGCCTCCTGAGAGTCCCTCAGCCACAGGCTTGCTGTCAGCCACGGCTCTGCTTTTCCCTGGTTGTGGACGACCCCCCGGAACCTGCAGAATCACAGGAGCAGGGAAAGCCAATGGGAGGTGCCCGCCCTCTCTGGGTGCCGCCTCCAGCACCCCCGTCAGCTGAGCCTGGGTGGTGTGAGGGTCCTGGCATCCTGGGGTTTGTTCTGCCACCAACTGTGGAGCCCAGCAGACGCCAGCTCTTTAGAGCAGGCGCACCTCCTGGGGTCGAGCGATGGCAGATTCTCGGTCCCGCAGGGCGTCTGCCCAACTGGGATGTGCAAAGGTGGGGGACTGCCTCGAATGTCTGCAGCCCAGCTGGCGGGCTGCCTGCACCCCCTCCTCGCCCCACCACCCACTGCCCTGCCAGCGCCACCCCTGGGGGAACTGCCTCTCCAGGTCTCCAGGGCTTCTCTAGGAACTCCCCGTTCTCTGTTCCCTGCCCCAACAGCCGGGCCTGAGGCCCAGGGCAGGTGGCACAAGGAAGGACTGTCATCTGACACCTGTGGTGGGAAGGACAGATGGACAGGCATGGGGCTGTGGGAGCTGGAATTGTCTGTCCCCCACCACCACCCAGGCCCTCCCCCCACCTTCCCCACAGCCCTCTCGCTGTACTGGGCTCTCCCCCACACTCAAGCCCTTTCCCCAGCCTGCCCCGCCCTCTCCTCCTCCCGCCCTCTCCCCGCCTCCAGC